GAATGTTTCAGAAGAAGATGCATTCAAGTTGCTAGATGGAGAAAGAGTTTCATTTAAATTCAAAGCATCAAAATTAACATCATCATCAAAATCATTTTTCTTAACTTTGGAAACTTCATTAAAAATAACATGAATAGACTCTTCTATAACCAAAGTTCTTTTGTTAAAAATATGAAATGCTTTAGAAATAGAAGAATAGCCAAGAAAATTTTCTTCATCGGATTTTGCATCAAACTTTCCTAAGGCATCTTTTTCATTCAAGACAAAACATTTATAACCGAAAACTTTAAAATATGAAACATTGGGTTTTTTGTTATTCCATAATTCATAAGGAGTTTTGGAAAGTAATAGTCTTACTAGAACCCTATTTATGATATAGCATGTCGTATTAATGGCTTCGGCCCAAAAGTATTTGGGTAAGCTATATTCGTTCAACATGGTTCTTGTCATTTCTTGTAAACTTTTATTTTTTTCTTTCTACTACTCCATTTTGTTGAGGATTTCTTGGAGTAGAGAAATTATAGTTATATCCATTAGATTCATAAAATTTTTGGAATTCACGGTTTTGAAATTCACTACTGTGATCACTCTGAATTGATGAAATCATAAAACCCTTTTCATTTTGAACAAGTTTACAAAACTTAGAAAAATACCTAAAGCAATCACTTTTGTGTGCTAAGAAGTAAGTCCAAGTGTATCTACTATAATCATCCACGATGATAAAGGCGTATTTTCTACCTCCTAGGTTTGATGTAGCAATTGGTCCAAACAAGTCCATATGGATCAATTGGAATGGTCTAGAGGTGCTTATTTGGTTCTTTGGTTTAAAACTACCTTTTTTTTGTTTTCCTAGTTGACATGCATCACACACATTGTTTTTAACGAACTTAATGTGAGGAATTCCTCTTATAAGTTTTTTAGATAAGATTTGAGAGATTAGTTTCATGCTAGCATGACCTAATCTCCTATGCCAAAGCCAAGCATCGTCATTCAAAACCGAAAAATACATTTCATTACAAAGATCATCAATGTCAATAGTGTATATATTATTTTGTTTTAGGGCAATCATAGATGTGTTTTTGTGTGGTTTTTCAATAATACAAGTATTGGATTCAAATCTAATGATGTATCCTTTATCACATAATTGACTCATGCTCAAAAGGTTATGCTTTAAGCCATCAACCAATAACACATCTTCAATAAAGAAGTTGGATTTATTACCTATGGTTCCTTTGCCAATAATTTTACCCATGTTATTATCTCCGAAGGTGGCATATCCTTCGTCTAGGATAGTGAGCTTAGAAAATTGAGATGAATCTCCGGTCATATGTCTTGAGCATCCACTATCAAGGTATCATCTCTTGCTCCTAGCTTATGATGGTAAACATTTCTACAAAAGAGGGTGATTTTTAAGTAGTCATTTAACCTTGGGTACCTCAAAAATCGATCTACTCAATTTATCGTGTTGCATGGAATTTATCATGGTTCCTTTAGGAACCCAAATCAATTTGTATGGACTATATCTCTTAAGTGGACATTTATAAGCAACATGTCCAAATTTGTAACAAAAGTTGTATTTGGTGTGGGGTAATATATGCAAGGTAGGACATTTAACAAAGATGGTTGAATTTTGGTGAGAGCTACTCACAAATCTGATTCCACCTATTCTATGAACTTGACCCTTATCGGCAAGGATCATGTTCAATGACTACCAACTTTAAACTTTTCTAAGGTTTCTTTGAGTAGCAAGTTTTTCTTTTTAAGCATTTCTAATTCATAACATTTTGTACAAGGAGCTAAACTATCATAATGCTCAATTTTTAGTCTATCAAAATCACTAACAAGAGAAGTATGCTCCTTTTTCAAAGAGTTATACTTTTTACTCAAGGTTCTACATTCATCAAATAATTCATGAAAAATACTTAAAAGCTCATCGAAAGATAAATTTGCATCAATGAACTACTTACCTCATCTCCGATAGCCATTAGTGCGTAGTGAGCAACTTGCTCGGTGTTGGTTGGCTCCTCTTCTTCGGATGCACTTGAGTCATCCCATGTTGCTTTAAGAGCATTCTTCTTTGGTTGCTTCTTCTTTGCTAGGGGACATTCGCTCTTAAAATATCTCGGCTTCTTGCATTCATAGCATATTATTTATTCTTTCTTGGGTTTAAATTTATTTTTAGTGTTATTTTTAAATTTATTCTTTTTTATGAATTTTTTGAACTTTCTTGTCAAGAAGTGCCAAGTTATCATCAAAGTCCTCATCACTTGAATTTTCTTTCAAGTGGTCTTCTTAAGTTCTTAGTGTCATATTCTTCCTATTCTTTGGAAGATTGTTCTCGAGCTCTTCATGAGCATTACAAGTCATCTCATAGGTTATTAGTGACCCGATTAGTTCTTCGAGAGGAAAGTTATTTAAGTCCTTGGCCTCTTGAATGACCGTTACTTTAGGGTCCCAACTCTTTGGAAGGGATCTTAAAATTATATTAACAAGTTTAGAATCCGAGAAACTTTTACCAAGTCTTTTTAGACCATTAACGACATCCGTAAATCGGGTGTATATGTCTCCAATGGTCTCACTCGGTTTCATCCAAAACAACTCATAAGTATGGACTAAAAGATTAATTTTTGACTCCTTTACTCTATTAGTGCCTTCGTGAGTAACTTCGAATGTGTGCCAACTATCAAAAGTCGTTTCACAAATAGACACTCGATTGAACTCGTTTTTATCTAAAGCACAAATCAAGGTATTTCATAGCCTTGACATTTAAAGCGAAAGTCTTCTTCTCCAACTCATTCCAATCGCTCATCGGAAGAGAAAGACTTTTGAAAATCATTTTCTATAAGATTTCATAACTCAAAATCCATTGAAATTAGAAAAATTCTCATTCTAATCTTTCAATATGTGTAATATGTCCTATTGAACATGGGTGGACGTGTGATTGAATGACCATCTTGGTTGCTGGCAAATGCTATCTCTCTTGGGTTTCAAACTAAATAAGAGTGACATTGCTCTGATACCAATTGTTATGATCAAAAGCGGCACTAAGAGGGGAGGGTGAATTAGTGGTGCGAAAACAAGCATTGATTCCAAAAAATATTAGTTTCGATGCAATCCATTTTGGAATGAAACTCTTCTTGAAAGCTTTCGTAAGAATGCAAAGAGAAGGTTAAGGAAGTTTGTAGTAATGTAAATTGCACAAATAGAAAAGCAAACCAGAATTTAGAGTGGTTCGGTCATTGTGACCTACATTAACTTTCAATTCCTCCTTCGTCGAGATCACCGACGTCCACTAATGGTCTTCTTTTAATAGGCAAAGACCAACCACCTCTTTACAGTGATTTCTTCTTTTCATGAGTTTAGGAGATAACCCTTACAAGTCTCACACCTCTCTTGAATGATCTCAACACTTAGAAAGGGAGGAGGAGTACTCTAGCACTTTTACAATGCTTTAACACTTCAAAGACTCAAGATTATGCTAATACTTTCGTGCCCTTTTATGCAGAAAAGGATGGGGTATTTATAGGTCCCAATGGCTTCAAAATTAGTGCCAAAAAGTGTCTCATCTCGGTTTTTCGAGGTACTAGCAATACCATCGCCTGACACTTGACACTGGGCGGTACCACTGTCCAGTCTAGGCGGTACGACCACCTGACAGAGCTAGGAGACCGAGTTTTGGCGGTACCACCGCTGGCAGCATTAACTACCAATGGTACCACCATCCAGTCTAGATGGTACTACCACCTAGAACACTTGGGAGATCGGGTCTTCCAAGTGGTATTACCGCCGGTCGTGATTTCAGGTGCTGAATTAGCTGTTCAATCCGGTCCAAATTAGCCCTGTTAAGGGCCCAATTGGCCTCTGACCGAGTTAGTAGGATTACATCCCGATCATAACTCAACTAATGTTCTAACTATAATTAAGGCAAGCAATTAATCTGGTATGTCGATTTTTCTTTCGGCGAACCTCCGGTGAACTTTTAGGCAAAACTTCCGGTGAACTTTCGACGAACTCCCAACGAACTCTCGGTGATCTTCCGACGAGCCCTTGGCGATCTTTCGACGACCTCTCGGCGATCTTCCGATGAGCTCTTGACGATCTTCTGACGAGTCTCCGATGAACTCCTGACCAAGGAATTATCGCTTGTCACATAAGACAATTGGCGGAGAGATGGGATTACCTTAGCGGAGTTAGATGTTTGTTTGCTCTCTTTTATTAGTGTGAAATTTATAGCAAGGCTTGTCCTTATCATAAAAAACTAATTGTAGATTTTGAAAGTAAGTAATGTTCCTCAATATCGGGTTTTTAATATTAAAAACGAATGGACATTCTAACTTCATCATCACAAGAGGTTTTTTTTAACAAATCTATAGTATTTTTTTTTCAAAAAATGATATAGAATACAAATTTAAAGAAAAAGCTACTGAGTATTGTTTAGATGGGGAATTGGAGGGGCAAAGGATATAATACCATGACAATAATCGCCCTAGAATCGAAGTTTGACTGCGACTCATCGGCAGGAGGTCATCTCCGAGATTGATGTCTACAAGTGTGAGATCTTCCTGCTAAGTGGATGTATCCTTCCCACCTCTACCATCACCACAACAACAACAATAATAAAGATAAAATAGTACGAGAATCGAAGTTCGACTGTAGTCGCTCTACCTGCCTAAAGCACAACATCGCCGGTGAGAGGTCATCTTCGAGATTAATGTTTACAAGTGTGAGATCTTCTTGCTAAATTGATGTATCCTTCCCACCACCACCATAATAACAACAACAAAAATAAAGATAAAACAGTATAAGTACCTATGAGAAGATCTAAATAAACAAAAAAAAAGTTCTGAAAGTAAGATTTTATTTTTGAACTGGAAGATGTGGTGATTCAAATTATTTATTTGGTAGACGTCCAATAGGTACAAACAAGAGAATTTTTGTGCCGATGTTGTGTTCCATCATGCACATACTGAACCCCTAAGATTAAAATTCTACTAAATGCATACGTAAATGCTCAATCATATATTATATGTAACAAAAAGATTAAAAAGGCTTTGGCTTAGTCCAACCGGAATGCAAGCTTTTAGCAGTTACGTGGGCTGCTTAATGAATTAATTGATTAAGATTACGACAACACGACATATTTTTAGAGTTTCTGAAGCTTCAAAGAGTTCGTTACTTCTTGAGCTGTGTATGTATGGTACCGTGCCATCAGATTTCAAGCTTCCTCTGGCAGACGTATCTTCTTGTTCACGGTTTCAAGCTTCCTCTGGCAGACGTATCTTCTTGTTCCCGGTTTCTTCTCCGGATACTGCTTTGCTCTCCTTCGCTTCCACTGAGCACCTCTTATATGGTTTGAATCCCGTCCGACTAGACATGGAATTCCCATGTCGGAAATCATTAGTTACAGAGCTTTGTCCAGTGCTGCCGTTGATTTCCTTACTCATCTCTTCCTTCTTGAGACAATGTGGATGAAGAAGGTCAGTTTCCAAACCTGCGTTCTCGGAAAGATTAGCTGGCAACATGCTGCTATCTCTGTCGCTCCTCACCTTTGTTTGTGCATCTTTAGCATGCAGAGGAGAAGAGCTTCGGGGCAGATCTCTTTTCAGAGGTGCTTCATAGGCAAGCTGACCCTGACAAAGATGATGACAATTAGAGACGCTGTGGCTGGTGGTGGTCAATGTCACAGATAGATAAAAGAAATCAGAAGAAATGGTCAAATGGGAACCTTTTCAGATTCTTTCCATGGCTCGTCCGTGCTTGCACTGCTTCTAAGTCTCCGGTGGTTGATTTCGGGAGCTGAAGTATTTGTGAAGGCTTCTTCAGCCTCTTTGTCAACTGTCTCGTTGTTGGCTGTGTCATTGGATCCACAAGAAAGATGTTGCTTCCTTTTGCTCCTCAAATCATTAACTCCACCAGCTAGTAACGGTGGGGAGTTGTTAATTTCCGAAGCTTTTACCTCTGTGCAATTAGAGTATTCATCTCTTACACTCTCATCGGAATCTGAGGATGGTGGTATAGGTGAAGTTTGACACTGTGGTTCATCAGATAAATCTGGGTTCAGAGGCTTACGAAAGGAGGCATCATGTCGTCGTTCTGGCTCTTGGACCATCTCCACAGGTTGAGCTCGGGTTGGAGGTGCTGAAGTGAAGGCAAAAGTGAAATGTGGAAACCATGGCAAGGCTCCCTGAGCTGCCCACCATGCAGTTGCAGCTCCCACTGTAGCGGCAACAACAGGCGTCATGGTCGGAGATGGCTTCATATGCACCGGTGGACTTGAATGAAGAGAAGTGTCCACCTCAGGGGATGGCCAGACTGATGCTGCCAGGCATGCTGCAGCATGGACTGATGGATTCTGTAGCAAGGTGGAAATAATGAGAGTTGAGAATGTGGATGAGATGTTGAGGAAGGAGTCACACGCATCCTGGTTGCTCTGGCATTGGGTCAATGGTGAGAACCACGGAAGCTGATGCTGCAAGTGACCTGTCATGGATGGGTTAGCAGTGGCATCTCCTCCTTGGTCAGCAGCACCAGCAGCAACGATGGTATGGTTCTTCTGTGCATCAGTGTCTCTGTTCTGCATGTCTTTTCCGATGAAAAAATGTGCTTGATTTGGGCCATTTGGGTTACCTTTGGTAGAGAGGCTCGATGATAGAATATGTTGATCTGATTTGTGTTCACTTGCTTCAGCAAAGTTGGTTTGTGTACTTGTGCAGCTTCTTGGGAGAAACCACATCCTACCCCTCACTGCCTCCTCATTCACTTCAGAAAGCAATAAAGATTTATCAACTGTGATCTTCTCTTTCTTTGATGCCTCACTTGTGGGGATGAATTCCGTAAAGAAGGATGCAGATGGCACATCTTGATTGATGTCAATAACTTCTGAGCGATTGCCATCTTCAAAATTCTCTTTAGCTGCCACTGTTTCCATTGCGGCAAGACGCTGATTGAGACAGTCAAGAACAACAACACTAACAGTACATAAGAGTCTGACTTGATAGAAATTAGAAGAAGGAAATAATTGGCATAGCATAGCAACACCTCTGTGGCTGCATCACTTTCCAAGCGAAAGGAATGCTGATTTGTGGGTTGGAGAGAGGAAGGTGTTGGTGGTTTGTCATCTGTAGCTTCTGCAGAGGGAGAGGGCGAAGGAACTCCTGTGCTCATCTTTCTTGGATATGGATTGCTTGGCTTCCTTTTAGGACGTGGAGGGGGGATATCAATGTCATGAACTTGTCCTGGGGAAACACCTTTAATGAGAGCTTCTTTTTCCAACTGCACATCCACTTGTCAGCCACACAGACCATTATTCATTGTTTCCAATCATATGTTTAATTGGAACCAGTTATGTGTAAGATAACAAACCATGAAAATTTCAACATTGAATCACAAATATTTGCCATAGGAGATCTATGGGAGAGTCATAACTGAAGTTTTAATGTTTTTTACTTGCGATACGCTTGTGATTGATGGATTTTGAGGAATTTCTCCATTCCCTGTGGGATCTCTATATATGCTAAAGATTGTGGGGTGCAATAGCATTAATTAAAATTTTTAAATGGTATCGGAACAGAAGATCATATGCTCAAAATTTATCTACATCACACTTTAAAAAGCTTTAAAAAAACTGATCTCATCTAATGCTTTAAGCTTTCAGATGTGATGACATTAATAAAAAAATTTCAGAGCAACCTACCACACTTAGCAACGAGCTTAAATGTTGATTACTATCTGGCACATTGACCACACTGACTTCATTACTTAGCCACAAGAACTTAATGGCTAACTATAGTAAATTCTTTTTTTATCTGTTTCTTTAAATTCTAATATCCCCTAAAAATATGGTATGGATCGGTAAGATCCTGTCTTGGCCAACACTCCCTAACCTGATGTGGTCTAAGATTTTTCGGCAAGCTTCAAAAGAGTTAGTATGTTTCAAGCATTTCTCCAGTTCAAGAAGCAAAAAATTCTGCCAAACTGTCAGCTAAATAGTTATTCTACTAAATAAAGTAATTTTATAACATGGAAAAAAGGGAGAAAGTCTGTGCATGTGCCTTAAACTTTGGTTCGCTAATATACATCGCTAACTAAGAGATTGTGGGTAAAAAGCTTTATTTTTAAGTGATCCTGTCACCCTCCAGAATAGATATCTAGAACTCTCCAAATACAATACTTCAAAGCTAAACAACTCAACCAACCTATACTATATCATATTATCAAACAGATTCAAAATAAGACTATATAAACTTTCCAGAAATATATAACAAAAATTAATGACGGTCCAAAAATCATTAAGTACAAAAGTATATCTTAAACTAGTGTCTTTGGCTTGAGAAATCAGAGTGTAAGCTGTCTAAAATTATCCCAATGCTATCATAGTCTAAGTTGTAGTCAAAATCTATACTCCTATGCTTTAAAGGAGTCCTAGGAGCACATGATTGTAGTTTGTGTTAACTGTAAAGTATGCTGTTAATGTTAACTTCAGTTGTGGACTTGGTTATCATATTCTAGCATATATATGGTAGATAATTATAGTTTGAGTGTGATATGTGACATGATACATCAAGCCCAGACCTACATTTTCACCTCAGTGTTCCAGATTGTTCTGGTCAGAAATTAACTTGCAAAGACATGGTAATAATGTCAATTAGATACTCTAACCTGTTAGACCGACAATTTTACATAATGATTCATATATCTAGTGTGCAGTTTGCCGAAAAGTGTGTCGAGTAAAATCAAACATGTCATTAGCTCCAGAAAACGAGTGTTGAGAAATTGTAAAAGGATATAACAGAATTAGATGAACACAAGTAGAATTCGTGATGATCTTTGCACATATTCTAATTTCTTTGTTATGCATAGATGTCATGTATGTCATCTCAAGCCATTATATTTCTTAACCTCTTAGAAAGGAGAAGCACAGACGGTAGAGACTAGACTCTCTCTGGCTTAGAGATCATAAATTCAACATGGATAAACAACACACAGGAACATATGATTTTTAAGGTTTGTCTAGATGGATAGGCTCTTAAATGGCTTCTTTCTTATGGAAGATTATTATTCCAAATGCTCACCTATAAATGAAATGAATATGTAGATCTATAAGTTAATATAACTTGTTTTTAAGTTATCAAACAACTCTTCAGCACAATAAATTTTGTCAACTAATGATGTTAATCATATCCTAACTAAGAAAATGTATAGAAAGATTGTGAACCATAATTTATTGTCGGCATGAATAATTTTATAAAATCAGCTGACCTTTGTGAAGAACTTCTGTGCATGGCTTCTGATCTGCACTGCAGTTTTTGTACCAATGTGCTCTGTGACAAGCACCAAACAACATAAGCTGAGAAGAGTTTTGTGTTTGAGCTTAGTTAGGTTTCACAACAGCATACAACACCTTGAACCAATTTATAACTGCACAACTCGAATTCAAACAAATTTCTCAAAGAAAACCTGAAATTTATGGTGTAAGAGGGAAACTGTGATTTGAAATAGTCTGGATTTGAACGTGCACACCTTCTATGCGTTGCCATGACCTCCCATAGAGCTTTAGGGCTTCCAGGAACCTGTTGTGTTCCTCCTCTGTCCACTTCTCCCTCTGCTTTGTAATAGTATACGGCTTCCTCACCTACAAATCGATTCCACAAACATATCAATCAACAAAAAAGGACCAAATCGGACGTCGCCTTAATCCAAAATAGCAACACCTTCGCAACCATGTTTTCTCCGCAAGATTTTTCTTCCATTTCAAGATCTGAAACTTCCGAAGCAGAGAACGGGGGTGTGGAAAGCAACCGCGGACACTTGGACTTAAAATCCGCCACATGAATCATCCATCCACCTTCCATATATCCAACCAATCGCTCAACTTGATCCAAGAAGTATCTCATAACTCATCGAATTCTACATCAAAACCAAGAAAATCAACAACCCGAAGTCATTCAAATACGGAATCAAACCGATCCAGAGTTAGCAATCTAGAGAACAAAGATACGTCATGGAGAAAGGCCCCAGAACGGAACCCTAGGGTTCGAACCTCATCTCAAGCGACACCGACGACGCGTCAAGAACGCCAACGAATCATCCCCAGAGCTACCACCTCTCCTCCGCATCTCAACCTGAGATGAAGCTACTAAAGGATGAGATCATTGGAGAACGGAGAGAAGAAGGCAAAGAAGTAAGAGTAGTAGTAAGAGGAGGAGGAGGTTGAGCGACCTCTCTCTCGTCTGCAATGGCGATTGCGGGAGCTGGAGGGGTGAAGCCCACCGTTCGGCCTCGCTCTCTCTCGACGAGAAATCACAGCCACTACTATTTCTTGTGGGCTTCTGTGGACTCTCCGGGGAAGTAATTTGTATTTTTTTTTTTTTTTGTATTTTCTAAAAACCTTTCCAAAAATTATTCTTCTACTCATGCATTTCGTACCCACGACTCACCGGGCCGTCATTTTATTTCGATCACCAGAGAACAAGTAAGGTAAGGCGCCGAGTACGCCTCGGAGGGGTGGAGAAAGCAGGGGCCAAGTAATTTTGAGGACGGAAGCGAGCCCGGGGGAAATGGCGGGCACCGGGACGGGAATCCCACCACGTGGAATAAAGCAAGTGGCCGGACTCGCTTTTTCGGGGAGGAGGACGAGTGAGGAGGTTGGTTCAAATCTGGCCACACGAACTCGGGCCGTGAACCCGACGCGGGGCGCGATACGCGGTCCGCACGTATACTTACCGTGCGGTCACACGATCCTCCGTCGAGGTCGCCACGCGGAGGAATCCGGACCGTCGTTTATCTGTGGCGATGGATGGCGAGTCGCGTAAGGAGGCGGCACGGTCGCATAGGATCGTGCCCGGATGAGGTCGACCGTACGGGGACGCCGTTTCCGCTTCCATGTTCGCGAAGGTTGCGAGAAACTTGAGGCTGCGGGGGAAAAGCGCATCGCCCCCTATCTGCCGCGGGAACCACGTGGCGACTCACGTGGCATTACGCGTCTCTCTCATCGGCAAGTCTTTTTCTTTTTCGCCCCTCCCAGGTGCATCAGGTCAGGTCCGGTCCGGTCCGGTCCGGCTTGATCGATTCAATCAATGAACCGGACCGATAGCATGCCGTACGGTCCACGAATGATGCCCAATTCGGTTCACTAAGAATTTATAAGGATTAAATAAATCCGAATATTTAGGATAATAGTACAAACTCGATCGTTTAATGAGTCAGATAAGTTGATTAAATGATATCAAAGCTCGAGATGATTAATAAGACAATCATCCTATCAAATCGAACCATGTGTCTAACAATATTATCAATCACATGAGATGAATATAAAAGAATAGCAAGCTGAAGTATCAAATTTTCTTTTGCCAACTAAACTGAATTTTCTTTTTTCTTTTTTTTTTGTTGTTAGTCTTGATAAACAGGTCTCGATACACTATACACAAAGAAGATCAATGAAAACTAATTAGTAAGCAAAAAGTAACACTTTGAAACTGAACCTCAGCTTCTCTGTCTCTCATTCTTACACATTTCGACATCAACTGGAAACATGAACTATATAAAGCATCTAATCTACAAGAACTGATTACAAACTATACAAGTTGATGGACTCGATCAATCGCAGATAATTCTGATAGGGCCTTGAGATTCCTGAGCATACTGCCTTTCCCCTTCCTCTTCTTTCTTTCTAGACCAAATGTGTAAAAAACGAAGATCCATCTGTCACAAAATCATAATTCAACTCACCAGGTTTTGCAGTCATTTGCCTGCAACAACAAACAATAATAATAATAATAATAATAATAATAATAATAATAATAATAATGCTTACTCTACTCCATTAAAGGAAAAAGGAGGAATACACTTATTTTAACCATCAGCAAGAAATTTTCTCTATCCAAGGCTACTGTGCGGTACCACATTTGATCATTCAGCATGGCTTCTGTAAGACCGAAAGCTCGAAGCTCCTCCACAGTGTGATGCACAAGGAGGCTGTACCTGTGTTCGACATATAGAAGCATCATTCACAAATTAATGTTGACAAATAAAAGCTAGATAAAATTTGCTAAAACAAAACTGTTTCAGATGATCTCAGCATGTCAGCAGAAGTTGTTCATACCAATAGCTTAATAGTCATCAATGATGGGACACTATTTTATTGCAAGTTTCAATACAAAATCATCATTAATTGGTTTTCATATTAGAGAATTTCCTGTATTTTATTGCAAATATGAAATATTGATCTTCAACCGATCAATGACCATAAATAGCATCTCAATGTAAGAAGAATCCATTGCTCAACGAAGAAATTAATAAGTTAATATCTGCATGGTGTTAGAAATTTTATGTGATATTCTGTGCTCCTTTATGGATGAAGAAACGATGTAAGAAATCAGAGCAACATAATTATGAAATCATTCTTCACCATACCTATACAGTAGACAACATGAACTGGGTTTGTCGACAGTCCCAGTGTCGGAAAATATAATTGATATATGAGAAGTAATTGGGCCATTGAGTAATGGCGAAAGATGGAAATTTTTTAGTTTATCATTATATTGCTAAGAATTACAACCCCAAATTGTGTGCTTCTCAACTTTGAAGAGAAAAAGAAGTCCCCCAGAAAAAAGGAAGAGAAAAAAAAAGAATATCTTGCTGGAAGAGGCAATAATCAATTCAGTCTTTCAGGATAATTACGATGCTTATTTGCTACTGTATCTTGCTGTATGTAGTCCACAATCTACCCACACAAAATAGGAGCAAATTAGTTATTAATTGTACCGATTTTGATGCTTGTGGAAGTTCATAGCCAAAAGAAATTTCCAACAACTTCATTGCAAATTTGGCAAACTTCAAACACTTCAATTTGAGTACCACAAAATTTTTTTGTCAACTTAAAAAAAAAAAAAGAAGGAAACACAAAAATGAGCACAAAGTGTGTCAAAATGACAGCTCAATAATGCAGAGCTTTAAACAACCAAGCTCAGCAGTTTTCTCAAAGACCATAAATAAAAAAGTCGGTTGAGTTAATTAATTAACGATATATTTTCCCTCAAAAAAGATACAAAATCACAAAAAAAAAAAAAACCATCTGTTATAAAATTCTGTTGTCCCGGAAAGGCAGTTAAGCATCAGTCGACAAGGATCTGAGGCAGAAAATAGGGTACCACCAATATACTATTTCTCGTACACAGACATGCTTGGACTCTAGCAAGAAGTAATCAATCGACACTGGTAAGTACAGCCAGTAAACAGGAGTGTAAAAACATTTGGATTTGTGAAGGAAAAAAGATGAGAATGTCCATTTAAAGAGAAAAGAAAACAGTACCTTCCACCGCTACCAGTTTGCATGACTAGCATTCCTCCATTGTCAAAATTGTTGAGCCCCTCAAACTGCTCCACTGTCCACTTGTACCATCTCATCAAAAACACCCGCAATGTTAGGCCATGTGATACAATCACCAAATTCATGTTTGGTGATCGTTCACCTGGTGGTTGGAAGCGGCCAATGTCAATATCTGCCCTGAGGGTTTCCCTAAAGCCTGTAGCAGTAACACTGCATAATTATGAAGCTATGCATCTCAGAGAAGTAGGCCAACTGTGTCCAATGATAGATTGATTCATTTGATTAAAACAAATTAAACCAGGTATATCACAAACCTGTGATTCGGTCATAGACATCAGCAGCTGATTCCCCATTTGGAAACCGATAGAAGAAACGGCCATAACGGTGACGTATTTCTTTCTCGATTCTCATTTTCTCCCTATCCTGAAAGTTTCCTATCCCATGCAGGTAAACAGATAGCAGATTCTTAGATCAGAACAGTTGAATTAAATCATTTCACTGGTGTGTTCAATATTATGACCCAAATTGAAAAGTAAATGCACCCATATCCCAAGATCTAAAGTATCCAAACAGCTAATATCTCTGAAAATTATGACAATTTTCTTGATTCCCTTAAAATAATAAAAACCGGAATATAATAATGCATGCCAAAACCCTCCGTACTTGTAAATTACACAAAATCCATGAAGAATTGCAACACCAAAAACCATCATCTAATTTCCTCCCGAAAGAAGGCACACTTGAGGCGTAGGTATCACTAAGAACGTACCGAAATCTTGTTCCCGAACCCGCGGCTCCTCTCTGACACCCGCGATCCTTGATCTCTCAAAGGCCTTGCCGAGGCCACGGAGGGTCTCGAGCGTCCGGCGGTAGGGCGACACGTAGAAGTATACCTTCCAGTCGTCGGCGCCGTCGCCGGCGACGAGGTCGCGGATCCGGAGGCCGCACTCCTCGGCGTCGCGCCAGCCCTTGGGCGTAAGGCCGATCTTGGGGTCGGGTACGCGGGTGTAGACGCTCTCGTCGACGTTCCCCTCGCTCTGGCCGTGGCGGACGAGGATGATGCGGCGCGGCCGGGGGCACGGCGCCGCCATCGAGCGTTCCGGGAACTGGGCCTCGGGCGCGAGGGGCGGCGGCGGGCGGTGGCGGCGCCGGCCGTGGGTGTCCTCGCAGCAGCGGAAGCGAGGGGGAGCGGCGAGGGAGGGGGAGGCGATCGCGACCATGAGGGCTTTCTTATCTCTTCCCGATCAAGAGAAGAGGAAGCGAGTGGCGGTTGCTCACCGTGTCTTATGGTTAAATCCCTTCCCATGCGTTATGCAAATAAATAGCATTTATACTTAAAAAGTAAACAATTATATAAAAATATATTATTATTATTATTATTATTTCGTATTAAAATTAAAATTCTGCAATCAAATAGTTCGAATATTAATTGAAAATATTTCCTCCAACTTCTTCCTTAATTATCTCGAATAAAAAAGACAAACCGAAAAACAACACGACGGTAACAACTATCGTTACGTAAATTGCTGCTTAAGTCGGTCCCCGACCGACGATAACAACAAAACTGTCTGCGAGCAACGTTAACCCTCTTCCAGAATAAGAAGCGATGGCGCTGGCCTCTTCCTCCTCCGTCTAGGGTTCCGTCTACCGCCGATCTAATCACCGAGGCCGGCCCCTCCGCCGCCTGGTTCCCCTTCCTGCTTCCCTCCAGCCGCCCATCAACTCCCCAGTTTCGGCCCTTGCACCAACCAGAACCACGGCAACTACCCCAGTTCCAGAGGCTCCGCCCCCGCTTGGCTAACCGGAAGAAGCATCAGTATTTGTGCTCCCCTCCGCTTCCTCAGGCGCCGTCGTCGATGTGGACATCCTACTCCATCCCCGCCTCTGACCCTGCCACAGCCGTCGGTACTGCCCTTCTTCGCAGTACCCTTTCTAGTATGCCCTGCGGCCCGTCTGCCGCCGCCGTCGGTCCCTCCTTCGCCGCTCCCTCCACCTTCTC